AGCAGCAGCAGCAGGCGGGCTCGGGCGCGCCGCACACGCCGCAAACGCCGGGCCAGCCGGGAGCGCCAGCCACCCCTGGCACGGCGGGGGACAAGGGCCAGGGCCCGCCAGGTTCGGGCCAGAGCCAGCAGCACATCGAGTGCGTGGTGTGCGGGGACAAGTCGAGCGGCAAGCACTACGGCCAATTCACCTGCGAGGGCTGCAAAAGTTTCTTCAAGAGGAGCGTCCGCAGGAACTTAACTTACACATGCCGTGCCAACAGGAACTGTCCCATCGACCAGCACCACCGCAACCAGTGCCAATACTGCCGCCTCAAGAAGTGCCTCAAAGTGGGCATGAGGCGAGAAGGTGAATATTTCTTCTCTGCTTCTCTCCCCGCGCTTCGCCCGCCTCCCTGGCTCTCTTTCTTTCTCTCTCGCTGGGGCGGCTGCTGTGTGGTACTGGGGCTCCTGTGGTCCCGGCCCGTCCCCAGCTTCCCCTTTCCCCGCTGCCTTCCTCCCCCAGCGTCTCCCCCCACCCCCCACCCCCCCAGCTCGCTGCCGCTGCCTCCCCCTCCCGGCCTGCGCTCCTCTCCCCGGCTCCTCCACCCCGCCCGCTGCCTGCTCAGGATTGTGTCCCTGGGATTGTGAGCTGTGGCTTAAAATCCCCTCCCTTCTGTCTTGGTTGTGTTCGGTGTGTGTCTCTTTCCCGCGTGTGCGTGAGGATGCTTGGGGCTGTGCTGGCATGAACTTGGGGAAGGGTGCTTATTTCCTCCAGAAAACTCTGTTCATTCCACTTTCCCCTCCACCTCTTCATATCCTTTCTTTAAAATGGGGGAGGGTTGGGGGCTGGAGTACCCTGAACCATAGATTCACTGCTGCCATCCTCCTTTTGGAAGCTTAGCTTAGAAAAAGAGGAGTGAGATTTATTGCACTTGTAGGTCTAATTAGGGGGAAGGGGGGGCTTCTGGCCCGCTCACTGGTTCCCTCTCCTCTTCACGGAGCTGGGGCCGCCTCCTCCAGAGCTGTGGCCTTGTTTTCACCCCTCTACTTTGAAAGGAAAGTTTGTGACTGAACCGTGCTTTCATAGTTGTGTCATTTTTTTAAAAGCATGATACTCATTTTATTTCTTCATCAAACTCCACCCTCTGCTTAAATACTGCATACAAATTACAATTTACAACGGCATTTACCGATCCCTCTGATTTGGCCATAATGCACAGAATGCAGCTGGCATGAGCTTCCACATCATTTAATCCCTGTGTTGTATGGGTTTGCTTTTTTTTTTTTTTTAACACAACTTTTGATGTTGTATTTGGATATGCTTCATGTTCATGTGGCAAGAGATGCAGCACTTTTCTTATAAATATATTTAGTCGTTTACAGTTAAAGTTTATCTCCTGACAATCATTAAAGTTGTCTTATAGTCACATTAGCAAGCCAGTCAATTTTGCAGAATGCAGATTACTCCTTCTTGTAATTGACTTTAAAATTATATTTTGTATGCCACAAGAAAAGAAATTGAATTCCTTCAGATCTCAAGGAGCAGACAAATATGACGACTTCATTTCTAGCTCCAGGGAGATTTTGTAGGCATCTGGGGGGAAAAAAAACAACTTTGAATTGTGATTGTGCTCTCACTTAATTGAAAAATAACTGCCAAGTTCAAAACTATAATTAGAAAAAAGTATTCTAGCCATTATGTTTCAAGAGTTTAAATTGTACTGGAACTTGCATTAAAATTAGAATCAAAGCAAAGTTAAGAAAATAGTACACAATCTGAAATAAGACAGCTACGTGTACATGGGCATATCTAGATTAATTTGAGAGTTCAGTAGCCCTAACTTTTCCTAAAGTTGTCTTTGTTTACATGGCAATTTAAAACGCTGGCACTGTTGAAGTAAAACATACACATTTAAAAAAAAAAAACTTTGGTCAGCTTTAAGAACTCAAAGCATGCTTACGTTTTGCATTCAGATGGTTAATGAATCCAGTGTTTTTGCAGTTGCAAGCTCGTGCATTCACTGGGCAAAAGCTGGCTGCAGGTTGCAGTGGCACCGCGCAGGACAGACACTAATTATATTTCCCACTTTTTTCAATAATGTTTGGCTACTGTAAGTTCACCTTTTTTTCTTGAAATTTTTCAATTTTCTGTTGCTTTTAATAGTGAGAACTTTATATGGGGCGATGGGGAGGAGGGGAGAAGGAAGGGGTGCAGGATACTTGTTCTCTACTCAAAAGTTGTAAGTGATTAGTAGGATTTGTAACTCGTATCTATTTTAAGAATAATTCTATAGCATTTTTAGAGAATATGGAAATATTTTATGAGCAAAACGCTGCTTGCTTGTAAATGAAGAGGCCTCTAGACATTTGCCAAGAAACACAACCTTTCTCCGGTCCCCCCCCCCCTTTTTTTTAACCCTAATTTGCTTCCTTCTGGAGGTCTGACTGGGGTTACATTTATCTGTGTGTTCCTCCTTAGTGGCCGAGGGGTTGGGTGGCACTTTCTCGGCCATGCCGGATTGGGGACCCTGAAGTCAGGCCTAGTTCCGGCGGGGCAGAATGGCAAGGGGCGCAGGCAATGGCTGGACACTTGGAGCCGCGGAGCTGGAGGGCCTCACCCTAGATATCCTCGCGGTGTGGGCTGTGAGTGAGAGCGAGCGGGAGAAGATGCGCAGGGCTGCAGGCAGAGCTTCTGCATTGTGTCGGGTGCGCTGCGGCGCGGCGATGTTCGCAAGCCCCCTGGATGCACATTGCCTCTTTTCTCTCTTTCTTTTTGTCAGCGGTTCAGCGAGGAAGAATGCCTCCAACCCAGCCCAATCCAGGCCAGTACGCACTCACCAACGGGGACCCCCTCAACGGCCACTGCTCCCTGTCCGGCTACATCTCGCTGCTGCTGCGCGCGGAGCCCTACCCCACGTCGCGCTACGGCAGCCAGTGCATGCAGCCCAACAACATCATGGGCATCGAGAACATCTGCGAGCTGGCCGCGCGCCTGCTCTTCAGCGCCGTCGAGTGGGCCCGCAACATCCCCTTCTTCCCGGATCTGCAGATCACCGACCAGGTGTCCCTGCTACGCCTCACCTGGAGCGAGCTGTTCGTGCTCAACGCGGCCCAGTGCTCCATGCCGCTGCACGTGGCGCCGCTGCTGGCCGCCGCCGGCCTGCACGCCTCGCCCATGTCCGCCGACCGCGTCGTGGCCTTCATGGACCACATCCGCATCTTCCAGGAGCAGGTGGAGAAGCTCAAGGCGCTGCACGTCGACTCGGCCGAGTACAGCTGCCTCAAAGCCATCGTGCTGTTCACGTCAGGTGAGGCTGCGGTCGCGGGGAGGGCAGGCCACGCCGGGAGCCAGCGCAGGCCCTGCGCCGCCCGGGCCTGGCCTCCAGCTCCTCCCGCGCC